GCACAGGAAATGGGGAAAAAAATAAAAACCAAGATACATCATATACAGGTACAAGCACCCAATGATAAATGTAAAAGTATTGTATACCTAAAATGTAGCAATAAAATAATTTAAGGAAAAAACCATATTTCCTGACATGTATTTCAGATATGATTTGACTTTTTTTCCTCTGTTACTGGGAATTGAAACCAGAGTCTTCACACTGAGCTACATTCTGGACCTTTTAAAATTTATTTTGTGACAGAGTCTCTCAAGTCACCAAGTTGCCCAGGCTGGGATCGAATTTATGATCCTCCTGCCTCAGCTTCCCAGAATGCTGAGATTATAGACATCTACCACCATGCCTGGCATAATTTTGTTTAATTTGGCAAAGTGAGTCTGATTCACATATCTCATTTCCAAGACCCTCTGATTAATGACACTGTAGTATTTATATAGCACTTTCATTATTTTTGTGTGGTAGGCACTGTTCTAAAAGCTCCACTTATTTCATCTAATTAATAGTATAAAATAATAAACATATTGGGATATTTGAAACTGAATGTAGTTATTGTTTCCATGATAAATATTTATAGGCCACTGTTTTTGTATTGTCTGTTACATTTACAGTGGACTTAACTTTACTATGTAACTGTTCTTTTCTCACAGAAATTGTTATTCTAAGCAAAGGTGAAAAATTCAGAATCTTAAGCCAAAAAGATTCTGACGTGCTTTAAAATTATATCCTGCATTCCTGATAACCCAGAGAGGTTCAATAAAAGGTTATAACCAGTTTGAGACTGAGCAGTAAAATGAGTGGGGAGTTGAGGGGACAGCAGAAAATGAGGGGACGACACAAAATAAGCTGACCTTTTCTGGTCACAACTGTGGTTGCAGGCTGACATTTATGGTCACCTAAATCTTCCAAGATTGTTCCTGTTGATATTACAGTACCAGTAATAACTGCATCTCAAATTTAAATTTGGCTTATGACAAGGGAATATAGATTTGTTCAGTATGGGACCAGCATGTAATGCTCCAGGGTAGCTGACTAGGGAGGACAATAGGCTATCTTCATTACTGCCAGGTTATTAGCTGGCAAGTTCTAAGTTGTACCCAAAAGAAACATGCATTATCTCTTCATCTGTGTCATTTATTTTTCTGCAGGCTGCTTGAATGTGTAGGATGCCAGGAGAATGAGAGGTAGCAGGAGATAAACTAGCCTTTGTGGGGAGTCACTCCGGGTTGGCTTTCCTCCTGAGGAGGGAGGGCTGAGCCCCCCGGGCCAGAGACCTGGGACAAGGCACACCTCCTGCTTCCGTTTTCTGTTCTTCTCTCTCTCCTCTCCCTTTCTCCTGTTTGGCTTTATTAGTTTGATAATGTGATATAGCTTTGGCATCTTGGCCATGTTTGAAAAGGAACAAATGTCTCACATGCTTCATAGGTGCTAAGCTATAGTCCTTGTATAAGCAGTTTATGATTTGATAAGCCAGACACAAAAGCTGAGAGACTTTTAATACATGTGGTAAATGTTACAAGAGAGGAATTTTATACAACTTTCATTGTTAGCAGCATTTGATTTCTATGCAGAAATTTAATTAATAAATTCTATATTTTATGCCTTTCAATATTTTAAGTATAGCTTGTATTGTTTTAATGCTATTTTTTTCTGCCTTTTTTGTTTGCTTTGTAGATCTTACTCCTACTTTATCGAAGTGTCAATGGATGAACTTGATTGGATCAGAGTGATAGATCATTCACATTATCTGTGCCGGTCTTGGCAAAAGTTGTATTTTCCAGCACGTGTCTGCAGGTTAGTTCTCATGGTTAATAAATGATTTTCATTCTTATTTAAAAATGTTTGGACTTTGAGAAGGAGACGGCAATCTTGTAGAAGAAGCGTGTTTATAGGTATCAACTACAAGGACAGCTCATGGGGAAAAGACTTATGGAAAATTATATTCCTTAATGTTTAGAATGCAGTGGGACTATCTTACATGTTTTATACCATATTTATGTGTAGAAATGTGAAGAATAAGAGGGGACGGGACATTAGAGAAGCTGATACATCTTTTTAAACTATGTGCTTTACATTGAAAGTAGAATTATTATTAGTGGCTGCATTCTTCCTACAAAAACCATGAGAAGTATTTCTGGAGGCTTTCCAGGCTGTGCCCAGGGCCAGGAGGAGAGTTTTGGATGGCAGGGTGCATGTTCTGGATATCTGTGTTCTTTCTCTAGGTCAGTGGCTCTGAGATGGTGTTTGACAAAACAAATGTTTCTAGTGGGTCTGGGAATGTGGCTGGCAGGGTCCATGTTTACATCCTGCCTTCACCCCCGCTATTTCAGCTTGTATTGTTAATATATAGCAGCCCTAGTTAGGATTGTTTTTAAAAAGTATTGAAAAGCTACTATCGTACTATTTAATATTCTCCCTTTATGTATAAGCCATCATTAACCTTTCTAAAATTCTGCAAAATCTATACAAATTAATGAATTTGGGAGTTGGGAAAGTTGGTTAAAGGACCCAGAAATTGTCATTTTTTTCATTGGAAATTTTTCCCAGATATTCTTTACCTTCAAGTCAAAGATCAAAGGCAGAAAGTGGTTGGTTTTAGTCAGGCATGGCAGGAAGAGAAAGGAGGGGACATTGTGGGTGTCAACCACAGAGCATATGAAGCTGGCACCACCACCACCGCCACCTGTGACCCAAACTGACTTCTCGTGTGGCTTAATGGAACAGATGAGGGTGCCCCACAGCATTTGATCTCCTGGTTATGAGTTATACTTACAGCTGTTAAACTCATGGCATAGCAGCAAGGCTAAATTCTTCCAGCACAAGAACTCCACAAAATCTTTCAGGCTCTTTTTATAGGTACGACTGGACACAATATTGTTAACCAGGGATCTGCTTGTGTGAAAATGAAGGAAATCAATTGCATTTCCCCAAAGCGGGCCTAAAGTGTCTCAGGCCTGGCAGTTGCTCTTTTATCAGAGAGGTTTTGAATAGATTAAAATACGAGAGACAAATTGAGTGAATATTCCATATCTCAGAGCAACCTAGGGATACTTGGAGAGTAACAGAGGTGCCCTGTTGTGGAGGAGGATGTCAAGTCTGCATTGACTCAGGCTACTATGGTTTTATAGGTTTAAAAAATAAGCAGCATAACAATCAAAGTGGCTGACATGGACCAAAGGACGTTGTGTTTGTATTTAATTTGAAACAATAGGAACATGACTCCCAGAACAAATGTGAATGTGGTACCAGCTGTTGAGTGTCTGTGTGCTTTCCCCGCCTGGCAGCTCCAGGTGTAAGGAGGGAAACCTGTCCCCTCAGTCATCATCTCTGCCTTTTGGGAAATATTCTTCCCCTTTATTTCTTAATTAAAATTATTTGTACTCTTTCCTTATTTTGTCTCCCCTGTCTGGCTTTGACTTTGGCGGTGTAACATTTATGTATATTTAGAACCTTGTTGTATTCAGGATGCTGGCTTTTGTCTTGGTATATCAGCTCCCAAGCCTGAAAATACTAATCAAAAGTGATGTTAAAGATTAATGATAGCATTATCATTAATGAGGAAGAAGTCTTGATAGCCAGTGAGTAAAAAAATTAAGAAAAAACCTTTTAACCACTTTCACGTATGAACTCCTACAGTCCTTCATAAACTGCCTTTTGTAATTGGTTAGAATTTTGGTAGTATTTTTTTTTTTTTTGGTACCAGGGATCGAACTCGATCCTTCCGCTTGCAAGGCAGGCGGCAAAACCACTGAGCTAAATCCCTGGCCCCTTGGTAGTATTTTAAAATGGATCTAGGAATAGTCTTCATTGATTATCCAAGGTTGTCTTGGTGTTTCTTATCTTCACAGTCATTTATTGACTACTGAAACATTGTTCTAACTACACTTCTTCCGGAACTTCACTGGGGAAACAAATGCTTTATTTCCTTAGCACATCAGTGTTCATGTTGCATTATGTTAATTTGCATGTTTGTATGTCACCTTTGTTCTTCAGTGTCCTTTGTGTGTTTGTCTTGCCTTTGATACTAAAATTACAAGCTTTTAGAGGCAAGGATTATAGGTTCTAATCTTTTAGTATCTTGCACAGTATTTAGACACTGACTTTATATACAGTAGATACTCTATAAATGTTAGTTTGGATTTTCTGGTGTCAGTGCCCTGGCTATGTAGTAAGAGATTGATTTAACAACAGTAATATGTGCATGTATTTATTGGTGCTTTTCCTCAATGTATTCATTAGGATGAGCATGAGTACTGGGAGACTCCCTGGAGAGGAAAATGGTTCTGTACTAGTTGCAAAAGTCACTTTCTCGGCTTTTGTTTTTTTAAAACTGAATTTTGGAATTCATCTTGAAGGATATGACTGCAGTGTTTTGATAAAAGATTCCATCTATTGCATTCACAATAGAGATACTCTCTGAATTGGAGAGTGGTAGATTACTATGTCCTCTCTCTCAGTCTACGTAAAATTGCCTATAAATCAGCATTGTGTAGTAGAAAAAATGGGTTGTGGAGTTAGAGCTCCTCTCAAATCCTGGTTTTTACCTCATACTTGCATTGCAACCAAATTATGCCTTTCTGAACCCTGTGATCTGTACCTATAAAGAACAAGAACAACACCCTCTTCACGCACTTCACTGTGAGAGTTGAAGGACATAATATATTTACAAGTACTAAGCTCAGTCCCTTGTGGAAAGCAGAGGCTCAGTAAATAAGCAGGTTTTATTATTTTTCCTAATTTCTGAGACTCTCAACTGATGCTTGACCTTTAGAGAAAGAGAGCCATTAGTCCCATTTTCTTTGACGATGGTAGCTCTCACTATGAGCGCACTGTTCCTTAACTCAAGAGCTAAGTGCTTTTGACAGTTTTCTGTATTGTCAGTCTATAAATTGCAATCCTGAACATGCCTTACATGGCTCTCTTTATTTTAATAATCTGCCCCCTTTTATATGTTTCTGACAGTTTTTATATATTTTGTTTTTGGTAAAGCATTTTTAAATTTTGGTAAAATATACAATGTAACATAAAATTTGTCATTTATATATCTTGTGCAATGTAATTCAGTCAACATTCACCTTCGTAAGATAGTAGGTGCTATCTAGTGGTAGTAAGGAAAACGTAAGGCTTTAAAGCCAGAGTGGTTGTTCCAACTATGATAAAGAGTAGAAGTGATTTACTATGTCTTTCTGGAGTTTGTATAGAAACAGTTCTGTGTAATCAAAAGCTTAGGCCAATCTCCCTTAATCCCTGACTGAAGATGAAGAAAAGTTGCTTGTCAATTTACATACAATTTTTCATATGCCCTCAGAACCATATTATGTCATAAGCCTTCTTTTTCTCTCCTTTATCTTTGTCTTCAAGCTTCAAATTGTCTTCTTTGCTATCTGGTAAACTTTCTCCCAATATTTTCCATAGTTTGCTTAAATGGTAAGTATCCTGGGGATTTTATAAACAATTTCTAGCTGTTTCTCAACATGATGCTGTTAATTTGGCAATTATACTGCTAAAATGTAAGAAGACTTGATAACAGGGCTCTATCTCAGTCCATTTTGTGTTGCTATAACAAAATACCTGAGGCTGGATGTTTTATAAAGAAAACAGGTTCTGACTCAGTTGTGGTTGCTGGAAAGTCCAAACAACGTGATGCTGGTATCTGGTGAAGGCCTCTCTGGTTGTGTCCCAACATGATGGAAAGGGAGAAGTGGAAAGGGAAATAGCATGTGAAGGAGCCAAGTACATGGGATGACCTCATAAAAATTTGCTCCTGTGAGAAGTAGCCCAGCCCTATGGGAATGATGTGAGTTCATTCCAGGGTGTTGCTTCCGTGACCTAATCCCTTTCCCCTTGGCCTCACTCTTAAGGATCCTGTTTACAGATCTCCTGCTATACACTGGGTTCCATGTTTCAGCTTGGAAACCTTTGGGAGACACAGTCCAACTATTTCCAATCTGTAGCAGCTTCTATGACTGGTAGCTGGAATTAAAAATGTAAACTTGGTGTAAAACCTGGGAGCTAAGAAGAATAGCAGGTCTAAAAGCACCGTTCTTGACAATATGCCTGTTGAGAGAGGGACGAGAAGAGTAGGTGGCAGAGGTACACACCACAGGGACTGGTGAGAGATCAGCAGAGTGGGAGGGTCATGTCTTACTGAAGACCAAAGAAGAGAGCCTGTTGAGAAGGATGCATGAGGACAGTGCAGAGCATGGCATGGGAAGGATGAGCTTGGTTAACCCAAAACTGGGTTTCTTTCTTCCTTTTGTTTTTAATCATCATAATGGAAATGTCTCTCATAAAGTGATAAGGTGATATCATATGCTTTAAATAGTGATTAAACTTGCCCTATGGAGGGCCTCTACCCCGTTTCTGCCAATTAAACGTAAAAATATCTCCTTCTCCTTCTCCTTCTCTGGGGTTGCCAGTGTAGTTGATGCTTTATAAACACAATCCTATTTTACTTTGAATTTATCACTGAGTTAAAAGTATCTTTGAGGGCCAGGGATTTAGCTCAGTGGTTTCACCGCCCACTGCGCAAGCGCAAGGACCAAAGTTCGATCCCCGGTACCAATAAATAAATAAATAAATAAATAAAAGAAAATAAAACTATCTTTGAATACTGGGCATTTGTTCTTATTTATGAAAAGATTTTTGTCTTCTACACATGTTTTTTTCTGGAATGGTTATGTTTTCGTTTCGGCTTGTGAGAACTTTATATTGATGTATCGTTACATCCATATGTATATATAGTGACATTATTTTGCCAATATTATCATTTTGTCTGTTATGTATTGTGCAGT